ATTACGATGTAAGCAATTTACAGCTCTTGGAATTACTCTGAAGCAAATCATGTATGTGCTGGGAGCCTCAGGTTTTTCAACTGTAAAGCAAGAGAGCAATTCATTTATTCAGCCACAAATATTAATTAAGCACCTACTATGTTCCAGATACTTCTAGGAGTTGGGAATACATGAGTGAACAAAAGGGATAAAAATCCCTGCTCTCGCTGTGTGTGTAATTTAGTAGAGGAGACAACTGATAAATAACATGAATAAAATGAGGAAAGCGGTATGTTAAATAGTAACTACCAAGCAGAAGAAAATCAGAGAAGGAAGATATAAAGTGCCGGTGGGGGAGGGAGTTTGAATCTTAGATAGGATTATCAGTGAAGGCTTGACCAAGAAGGTGACTTTATTTTGTAACGAAATAAGAAAGTGAAGGAGCCAGCCTCTTGCCTCTTGCCTTTACGAGGAGGAGTGTGTCTAGCACAGTAAACAGCAAGTGTAAAGGTCACAAGATGGGAGCATCGCTGGTACGTTCACAGAAGAGGAAGGGGAGAAAGTCATAGAGAGAGGGGCATCAGGCAAGACTCACTGTCTCTTACTTTGAGTGAAAGCAGAAACTATCAGATGATTTTTAGCAGAGAAGTAATATGTTTTGACATATTTTAACAAGTTCATTCTGGCTGCTGCATAGAGAATAGACAAAGAACAGAAGCCAAGAAACTGTTAGGAGGATATTTCAGTAATATAGAAAACAGGATGATGATTTGATTCAAGGGAGGTAGCAGACAGTATTGTGAGAAGTGGTCACATTCTGGTTATGTTTTGAAGGGATTTCAAATAGAAAGAGAGGAATTAAGAATGGTACCAAGATTTCTGGTCTGATCAATGGAAGAACTGAGTTACCCATCCTTGAAATATGGAAAGAGTTGTAAGAGAGGGTTTTGGTACAGACTATCAGGCACTCAGTTTATGATATGTTAATTTGGCATGCCTATTAGATGTATAATGTAGATTTCCAATAGGCAGCTGAAGATATATGTTTGGAGTTTAGGGGAGTGATCTAAACTGGAGATGTATGTTTGAGAATCACTAATATAATCTGAAGCCATTGAGATTAGATGCAATTACCCTGGGAGAGAATGAAGATGAGTTCCAAAATTTAAAAGTCAAGCTGGACATGGTGGCATGTGCCTATAGTCCCAGCTACTCAGGAAGCTGAGGTAGAAGGGTCACTGGAGCCCAGTTCAAGGCTAGCAGAAGCAACACAGCAAGACTTTGTCTCAAAAACAGACAGAAAAAAAAAAATAATGAAAACAAAAAGTCTTCCAAATGTAAAAGTCAGGTTGATGAAAAAGGACCAGTCAGAGACTGGGAAGGAGCATCTATAAAGCTGGGAGGAAAATCAGGCAAATGTATTGTTTGGACAACAAGAGAAGAATGTTGAAAGATTGACAGAATGAACAACTGTGTCAAATGCTGCTGAGAGATGAAGTAAAAATGAGGACAGAAAATGGATCCTTGGATTTAACAACAAACATGGTAGTCATTGATGACTTAGAGAACTGTTTTGTGGAGTGGTAAGGGTAACTGGAGTGGGTTTAAGAGAGAATGGGAGGAGAGAAATTTCAGACAGCAATTTAGGCAAGACTTTCAATGAATCTAGCTATAAAGAAATGGGGCACTGGTGGATACATCTAGTATGGAGGAAATTATTTATATTGACAAGGTGAGGTGAGGAGAGTTGCTACCTGTGAGCAGAGCTGGTGGCCTTTGTCAGGTGCATGACCTATTTACGAACAGCAATAAAAGAGATAGCAGGGTGCATACACAGAGATGCAGAGATTACGTCATTTCTTGCAGTGAAATAAGGAGCAAGGTCCTCACCTGAGTGAGGATGGGGAAGAAATGTTGGAGGTGGGAAAAGAAAATGAAGTCTGAAATAGTAGACAGAAGACTGGAAGAGAGAACGGATTAGGGACATATGATTTTTGGGCAGTCTCTGGGGTTTACTTGAGGGAGGTGAATAGCCAAGAATACATAACAAGACCTGTCAGCACAGGGGCACGTTTTTCAAGCTACATTCAGCCGTAAAATTATGAGGATGGCCCAAGTAGATAAGAGGATGTATCCATGGTTGTGGGTTTCCAAGGGTGTGAGAAAGTCCAAGGAGCAAGTGAGTTAGGTTCTACTAGCCTTGTAAAGAGCTAACTTAGATTAAACCCAGATTACATTATGTGCTAGCAATTGAGTCAGGCCATAGCACAAATCATAATATCCCAAAGCAGTTTCTAAACATCTGGTTGCAGATAGAAAATTACTAGAATTTGTATAAGTATTTCACAATTTGTCTTGGTCCTGCCTAGAGACTCAGCAATAAAAATTACCCAACAGTTCTTGGCCATTGAAGACTTTGAAACTAGGACAAAATAAACTCACTTTACTGTAAAATAGCTGCAGATCTTCCTATAATAAATTAAATAGTACCATAGAAAAACTTTGTGCTTTGTGGTTTTTTTTTTTGTGTGTGTGTGTGTGGACCTCGATTTTCTTCTTAAAATGAAATAGAAAATAATGACAAGCATTTTAGTAGCAGAGGTCTAGCAATAAGACAGTTGCCTAAGTAGTATGGTTTTAGGGATGCTGAGAACAATCCCTCTACAAACCAATGCCCTACCTGTTCACTGGGGCCTGAGGTGCCAACAGAGGTGCCCTTTGGCTTTAAGAAAGGGGTCAAAGCTGGCTGGGCGCGGTGGCTCACGCCTGTAATCCCAGCACTTGGTAGTCCGAGCAGGCGGATCACTTGAGCTCAGGAGTTCGAGACTAGCCTGGCCAACATGGCAAAGCCCTATCTCTAATAAAAATACAAAAATTAGCTGGGTGTGGTGGCATGCACCTGTAATCTCAGCTACTCAGAAGGCTGAAGCGTGAGCCTTGAACCCAAGAGAAGGAGGTTGCACTGAGCTAAGTTCGTGCCGCTGCACTCCAGCTTGGTGACAGAATGAGACTGTCTCAAAAAACAAACAAACAAAAAACAAAAAAGAAAAGAAAAAAAAAAGAAACAGGTCGAAGTCTTCAGTGTCCAAGCAGCCAGCAACAAACTCATGGGGCAGGCATGAAGCATGTGTGTGCCTGGTGGGGATGGGGGAGTGCTTGCTCCCCTCTAAAAGAGGCAGCAGCTTCTCTGACTGTTGCTGTAGTGAACACAGAACCAGTGGGGCAGACCTTACACTTTTTCAAATTATTTAAGCCAGAAATCATGACTTTTACATGACATCCAATTTTTAAATGTTGGTGACATTTTAAAAAAACAAAAAAAAACACTTGTTACGGACAAACAAGAATTCTTTTTTTCTGTTGTAAAACAGCAAAAGCCTAGATGCAAATCCTTCTGGAGTACAATTACTGCTTAATCTGTTATCAACTTTTCCTATTCCAGTCTGCAGGAGAACATTCCAGCTCTCTTCTGAGAATTGGTTTTGTCTGAGAGAAAAGCAGGAACGCTGTAATTGCTTCGTGCTGCTTTCTCAGGTCAGGGTGGTTTATGACAGCTATTGTTCAGCTCATGGACACAGGGTCTAGTATGCTATCTTCACTGCAATCATTTTGTATATTCTCACCTTTAAAAAATCTGATAAAGAGACCACAGAGCCATGAAAGGTTCATAGAAGTCAGTAGGATTTTATTCAATGAAATCACTCGAAAGCTGTGTCATCTATGTTTACCCTTAAATTATAATTCTTCTTACACAAAAATTTAAAATTTGGGTTAAGATTAATATTCCTTGAAAATTTCCTTAGAACATACTGATTTACTAGTACATTTCATTTTTCCTACATTCAGCTAGATGACCACTTCATTTGGTGTCTCTCAGTATCCTACTGAGACATTTGAGTCCGAATATATCCTCAGCAGTAACAGTAAACCTACATAAAGAGGGCAGCCCAACAGCAAAACAAGAGTTGTATGCCCTCCTGAGTAAAGACTAATAACAATAGGAATATTAGTATCAGTGATCAGAATAGTTATACTGCTACCATTTAATTTCTATCAAATATCATTCTAGTCACTCTGTACCCATTAATTCTCACAATATCTTTATTAAATTGGTATGTTTATTCTCATTTTATAACTATGGAAACTGAGGTTCAGAGGGAAGAGGTAACTTGCTCAGAGCATCAAGACAATGGTGAGAGAACCCATCATTAAATCCAGGACCATCTGAGTACACTTTGAGGCTTCTGTTATCAAAAGGGGTTGGCCTCAATTCAACAACTATTTGTCAACGATATCTCCATTCCTGGCCCTGGTTTGGGTTTAGGAATGCAATGATAAATACACAGTTCTTGCCCACAGCGACATTATACTACAGTAGAGGAAACACAAATAGAAATATATTTTCAAAACAATGTGGTTGGCAGGAGAGGTAAATACAATCTATTATGCAAGTATTGAGAGGGAAGGCAAGCCCAGAATAGGGCCTAGGAAGGTTTGCTGTGGAGCATGATGCTCTACACTGAACCTTAGGAAAGAGTAAGAAGTAGTGAAAGACTATTTATTCTAGGTAAGAAACATAAACATGAACAGCATAAACAGACATGTGAGCAAGTGGATGTTTTTAGCAAATCAAAAGAAGCTGAGCATCCATGTATGCTCTAGTTCAAGTTGGGAAGTAGCAGGAGCTGGGGTGCTTGCCTACATCCCAGAGATGATAACACCAAAGCATTACAAGGTCAGGTTCGTGTTTAAAAAAAAGCAGCCGTGTGAAGGCTGGATTGGAGGGTATAGTATAGAGAAGCTTTTAGGAGTCTTAGTTGTTAACTATGTTGTTCTCAGCAACAATTTCCCAGAAGAGACCATTGTTTTGCTCATAGAGAACTATTAACTTGCCATTCCCACCAAGTGCAAATTGTCATGTACTGAATGAGGCCAGAGCAGGATACACTGCCCTTGACCCTGGCCAGCACCATGCAGGCATAAATACAGTAGCTCTTCTGAAGAAATAAAGATGGACGCACTGTCAGCAGAAATCACAAATTTATTAACTCTTAAATATATCAATCAGTCATTTACCATTATGGCAAGAAATATATACAGTGTCCCATGGTAAACTGCAGTGTTTCAAAATGATAGAAGATAATAAATGTGTAATTCATTTGTGGTGGAGAGAACAAATCACAATTTCCTCACATCTTAGTGCAGAAGACAAACTTGATCTACAGTAATACTTCAACACCACATGCTAAAAGTGTAAAAAAAACACTCTACACCTATTTTTTTCTTTAAATACATGTATGCCACGTATAGCTGCTTCACAAAAGGGTAAAAGAAATTAAAAAGGGAAAAATGAGGCCATTATTTTTTCACAGATCTCATTGGCAGGTTAACATGGCTCAATATATTGACTGTATATATTTATTTTAAATATATATTGTTTTAAATTGTGTAATAATTATCAGAAAAGCTTCAACCCATCTACCATACATCCACTAGCAATAATATCTAAGATGATTAGTAATCAACACAGAAAGGTGAGATGAGAGAAAAGAGGAAGGGTTGTTTTTGTTGCTTTGTTTTCCTTTTTTGCTTCTGCTTTAAAAACAGGCTTCTGAGGACTGTGAATTACTACCGTTAAAATAACAATGATGGAGATTCCATGCACTGTAAAGCGTTTCAGAGAAGAGAACAAAAAAATCACAGGAATTCAATCAACAAAGGAAAAATGAGAAGCACAAAGAAAACCTAGGATATTTCCCTTTTTGTTTTAAACTGGAAAATCCTAACTCCTTGGAGGAAGGTAACGATACTCTGATTCAAGAGAGAAGCTAAAAAACACAAGTCACAAAGATCAAGTTCAAAACACGTATGAGAATGGCAAACATTTGTAAGCCTCTCTAACGCTAGAAAACTAGCGAGTGATGATGCAGAAGTGACCCTTTCATTCCCCAAGGCGGAGGTGAGTGCGTTTGCATAACACCCCCTCTGCTATCAACTTGGTATCCTCCTGGCAACTGTCCCAATCAGTAAGACGTTGCAGTCACAGGAGGAACTTGCTTTTATCCTAAGTTTAAACAATACCTCCAACATAGTTAGGATACCTAAGTCCAAAGTAGAGCTTAAGCAGAATTATAAACCTTTAAAATCTTGACAACATTTTTGTGGGCCCTGAAGATGATCAAAAGTGCTAGTTGAGCCACCTTCAAAAGGCTTTTATTTCCTTTTTACCTTCATTATGCAAATTTCACTTTTTTTCTTTTCTCACACACTACTAGCCGGCCTCCTCAAAAAAGGAAAAGGGAAGAAAGTAAGAAAATAATGGAACAAAAGAAAAATAAAAAAGGAAGCAAACGAAAGGAACAAAGAAACAGGATAAAGAAAAGAGATCACAGATTCGAGAAAGAAAAACAATTCAATTCAGCAAATCCACCAAAACAATGTGAATATATCCTAAAGTGATTAAACTCAGAAATGATGTGAATTTTTCCAGTTTACACAGTTTGACCAAAAAGAGCATGGCTTTATGTGGTAGCAAACCAACTGATTCTTGATTCTACTTTCATAAGTGATTTTGCCCACATATCAACCCACTTTAATTGTTAATCAGCAAAACTTCCCATGAAAAATCATCCATTTTAACCAGGATCACACCAGGAAACTGAAGGTATATTTTTTACCTTAAAAAAAACAAAAACAAAAACAAAAAAACCCAAAAAAACCAAACAAGCCAAAACAGATTAACAGCAAAGAGTTCTAAAAAATTTACATTTCTCTTACAAACTGTCATTCAGAGAACAATAGTTCTTAAGTCTGTTAAATCTTGGCATTAACAGAGAAACTTGATGAAGAGTTGTACTTGGAATATTGTGGATTTTTTCTTTTTGTCTAATCTCCCCCTATTGTTTTGCCAACAGTAATTTAAGTTTGCACGGAACATCCCCGTAGTTGAAGTGTAAACAATGTATAGGAAGGAATATATGATAAGATGATGCATCACATATGCATTACATGTAGGACCTTCACAACTTCATGCACTCAGAAACATGCATGAAGAGGAGGAGAGGACGGCCCAGGGTCACCATCCAGGTGCCTTGAGAACAGAGAATGCAGAAGTGGCACTGTTGATATTTAGCTGAAAGGAGAAAGGGGGAGGAAGAAATAAATTATATTGTTTTACAAAATATCATCAAATTGCTTTGCCATAGATTTGACTACGCTACAGTTTTATAACTTGGCTAACAAATAGATTGAGAACACTATGTATAAGAGATGTTTGCTTGTGATCATTACAGGAAGAAACATACAATGTTACACAAAGACAGTATTAAAATAGAAAATGAGTATTAATTATTTTTTCACACAAAGCTAAGCTAAAAATAAAGAGACAGGGACCCAGGCTTCAGTCACGTTATTAAATCTAAGTATACATCTTAAGCATTCCTGTTTACTGGACAAATTAGTAAATTAATATAATCTTTTTGCTGAAATAGACTTAAAGTTCATCCTTAGTTTTTGTTATTATTATTAGATTCCTTGGGAAATTAAACCTAGAAGTCAATTTAACAAGGAATATAGTCTCAAAAGTAGAGAGAACATGATTACTCTCTTTAATTGGAGCTCTCCTTTGTTGAAAGCAACAGCTGGGAGCACTATTTGTTAAAAGCTCTGATAAGGTTTAGTTCTCTGAATGAGGCAAATATTCACAACAGCACCATACATATCTGAATACTTGTAACCCAAGTCTAAGAAACAACTAATTAAAAACAACAATAAAAGCATGAAGTTAATTACAGTCAACTTTCAATTATCCTCTAGAATTACCCACTTTGTGAGTTTTAAATTTCAGCTTGACTTCCTCCTGTGGCCTGTGCTCAAGGTCAAGCACCATTATACTCAGTCAGGCACAGCAAATTGATTTACACATTCGCCATAGCCAGCTGCTTATAGAATTGCAACCTCTTGAAAGAATGGTTAAGACACCAAAGGATTCTAAAGCTTAATATAAATTAAGTCCGGATAATTGAGAGTTATCTGAACTGACCTAGACATAATTTACTTTTGATGTGAAAACTTCAGGATTCTAACATGACATAATCCACATGTTGGAAAAAATTCATTTCAATGTTTATTACCTTTAAAATAAGGATTATGCTACCAAATAGGGCTGAATGTTAGATTCAAAAGCTCATGCAAAATTGCTATGAATTTTCAAAGACCTTGTATGTTTTTCATTGAATATTATGCAAGAAAAAATATCCTCAAAAGGAAGGAAAACAGCCATGCAGCTTTTCATTCAGCTCCAATCACAAAGTATCACGGAGCAGGATGTTACTTACAAGACCCATATGTGAATGATTTTCAGGCCTTAGATGTTTTGCCACAAAGAGGTGCCTCCTGAGAAGTTTTCTTTCCCATTTGGAATACAGGGTGGCCTATTAAGAGAAGCCCCATTTAAGCCACCTGGCATAAAATGAAGTTTTCTTGAATAGGCTTCATCCCATAAACACTTCAGGGAATTGTAAAAAAACCTAACCCTCTGGTACTGTATGAATGTAACCCCTTCTATATTAACTAGTGATTTGTGCTGTACCTCTTTGGGGTAAAAAACACACAAAAACAGGTGTCTTCATTATCTTCATATTCCTCTTGTGTTTTTCTCTTAATTACATAGCTATGGTTTTGGGAATAAATTTCAGCCTATTGTTTGGTTTGGGTTTTTTTGTCCCTGTTGACCCACTTTTTACAAATCCAACAGTGATATTAAGTAGTAAGTCTATACAGAAGGCCTCTGAAAACCACTGTGGTATGTTATCAAACTAAGAAATCATGATGGATTCTCTGGAGTGAGTTGAATGGCTGTTTGTATGACCCCCCATTCCAAATCCCAAATATTAACAGGTGATCCTGGTGAGATAACTCGGAAAGAGATCAACAGTGGACCAATCTTCTACACTGAGTTTAAACTCTTCTTGTTTTCATATCACTCCACTTTACTAATAAACCTATTTTCAATTATTCCTCTTTACTCTAGTTGTAACCGGCATTCCTTACCAATAATGTTCTCTCATATTAAACTGAATCCTGATATTGTACTTTTCTTCACGATGCTCCTTTAGCCTGGACTATTCTCCTTTGTTTTTTCTATCTTTCTATGTCTCTAAATTCTACTCATCATTTAAGATTTTGTCCAAAATTCTATCTTATACACAAAGTGTACTTCCAAACTGTTATAAACAGTTTACTACACTGTTCATGAATTTTACTGTATTCTTAAGTTGATGATAAAGTTTATTATATCATTTTTTTCTTTAGAATCAATGATTGACTAAATGAGAATGCATGTTCCTTGAAAGCAATATCTTTTACCTTGTGTTGAATCTGGCACAGGTTAAGCACCTAGGAGATTCACAATAAATATGTGCCTAATCGCTGACTGGAAAAGCAAACGATATCTGAGGTAGAGTGGTGAGGTGAGAACGACATTGCACTACCTGACAATGGCCTTTTAAAAGGGTCTCTGTAACTGAGCTTTAGGGGATCCTCCATGAAATGAAACTCCTGATAATATATTGGCCATTTTAGAAACTCCACCCTATGCTTTCCTCTGATGTCTCCTTCTGTCAATTGAGAAAATGAAGTCACAAATATTTTGCCTTATTATACAAATCCCCTAGATTTAACACTGTGAGATTTTGATAAGGTAGTCTCTAGTCCTATCCAAACCTATTGTATACTGCTCTATAGCAAGTTTCAACCCACAGATGGCTGATCTGATTGGTCTTTCCAGAGAATCATAAACCTTTCCCGTGAAGTCATTTATTTTCATCAGTGTAACCAACTACTAGCATTAAATAACATATACCACGCTATTAACAATGGAATAAGTAGAAGAAGCTGACCATGGGTGTATTAACAAAGAAGCTGACAGCCTGGGAATATTTACTTGATGGGTACTGTTGGTGACCCCGAGCGATGAAAATGAACATTCTGCCACTTTCCATCCCGACGGTGCCACACACGAGTCTCTTCTGACTGCATTGTCTTTGGCATTCCACTGCCATCCATGTACTGTGTGAGCCTAATATACGCTATGCAGGCGGCATCATCCCCTACCAGATGTACATGAGGGTTTAGAATAATAGTGTGGATTGGTTTATTGCTTTTGGACAAAGCTGAAAGAGAAAAACATGAAAAGCAAAATTTAGTTTCTATGTAAAGGAAACTAAAACCAGTAATAACTTCAGTTAGGACCAATACATGAAATGCCATTTATTCAGTCAGTAATTAATTAGTTAATTAATCTACTATTTATACTAATCTGGTACTGGGCACTGTACAAAGCAAGGAAAGAACAAAAGTGGACGCAGTCTTTCTTTTATCTGGTTTCCTTCACAGGCACTTATATGCTCCTCTGGAAATTCTGATCGGGTGAGAAAGCTGGAGAGATATATTTATTTACGAAGGAAAGTGGTTAGAAACAGAAATCACAACATGAACGGAGGTGAAGAAGGCCTGGCCCAGGTGTGCCAAGCAGTTCCTGTCTTTTCCAGGAATGAACTGCTGGGACAGTTGACCAGGGATCTTGCGGTGGTGTTTGTTTTTGTTAGTTGGTGAAGTATGTGGGAGAAGGGCAATATATCAAGTTTCAGGTATGGATATCACTGTCTCCAAAATAAGGCTGGCGGTAGCCTTTGAACAAGCCTATGAACTTGTTTCTCATCTCATCCTCTGACTCCTCCACATACTAGAGTCTATTCCATGATAGTCCACTGTGATCATTTGATAAACATTCAAAATGTAGTGTTGGCACACAGCCTGATTCTGATCTTCTAGCTCTTTCCCTTGCCTGAGTAGCCCTCACTATGCTCCAGACTCTGGTGTTTTAACAGTAGCTACCAATTCTAATTATTCAATCACCAAGAGATATGAGGAGGATTAGGGCACATCACTTACTGATGCTGTTCCTTTCTTAGATCACTAGAAAACGTTGAATTGTTTTTAGCTGTTATCCAAACATGCTTTCCATTCTCAGAAAACATCTATTTAAATTATACAAAATATTATTATAGTCACCTGAATACCCCATTATGAAGGAATTACATTTATGGAACATGATGTATAGTGTTATGCTGAAATAGGTTAAAATATTAATGGGTTAATTCTTTCATTAGGGATCAGACGATGTCAATAGAGAGTTAGTTGGAGGAAACATGAGATGCTATCAGAACACTGGAATATAGGGAATATGATAACATTTACTGAAACTTTGAGAGAGAATTTATCAAATAGTTCTTTTTGTTTATTTGTTTGTAAATGCCTAACGCATATAAGAAAAAGTAACTCATTCAACACATCTTACTTCGAAAATCCATGCCAAAGCAGACATTCTTATCAAAGCTTATAATTACTGAAAGTGATGTGATTATCCCAATTATTCCTATAATACATTTCTTCTTTAATTCAATAAGATCTCTGCAAAAATAGTACATTCACTTAATGCAATATGCAAACACAGCATAATGTCTAATGTCATTAGGTGTAAGGAAAAAGAGAAGGATAAAGGGAATTCCTGGTTTACATTTTTCTTGATGACCCGAAGGATTTCTGCAGGATGAACTTCTTTTGTCACCTTCTTTGAAAAGTGGTGGTTTCCTCTGAAACTACCACAATTCTTAAAATTTGAATTGAAAGATTTATCTGATTACTCAACTTGATTTTCATTTTACTTTGAAAATAAGCATCACATATGCTTGAAAGCACTCTTCTATGTTGAATATTTTGGCATGGTGTGGTTTTTAAAAATTTTTTCCTCCTATTTTTTCCTTTTCTTATTTTTAAAATTTGAGACAGGATCTCATTCTGTCACCCAGGCAGGAATCCAGTGGTATGATCAAAGCTCACTGCAGCCTCAATCTCCTGGTCTCAAAGTGATCTCCCATCTCAGCTTCCCAAGTAGCTGGGACTACAGGTGCTTGTCATCATGTCTGGTTAATTTTTGTCTTCTTTGTAGAGATGGGGTCTCAGTATGTTGCTCATACTGGTTTTGAATTTCTGGCCTCAAGCTATCCTCCCACTTCAGTCTCCTAAAGTGTTGGGATTACAGGCATGAGCCACTGTGCCTGCCTATTTTTTTTATATATAGTTTTATGAAAACGTGAAGTAACATTTTTTGTAACTGATTTATAGCCTATATTATACATTAACTGGAACTTGCTTGAAGTGTATTCTATCAACATTACTTTTTTTTTTTTTGAGATGGAGTTTCACTCTTGTTGCCCAGGCTGGCGATCTTGGCTCACTGCAACCTCTGCCTCCCAGGTTCAAGCAATTCTCATACCTCAGCCTTCCAAGCAGCTGGGATTACAGGTGTGCGCCATCATGCCCAGTTAATTTTGTATTTTTAGTAGAGATGAGGTTTTACCCTGTTGGTCAGGCTGGTCTCGAACTCCTGACCTCAAGTGATCCACCCGCCTCGGCCCCCAAAGTGCTGGGATTACAGGCATGAGCCACGGTGCCCAGCCAACATTAATTTTTATACGAAGATATTTTTTAAAACACACCAAAACTGTAAGTCAAGCCTGACATTTTTTTTTTTTTCAATTTTGAATACAAAACAATTGTATGTTTCAAATGCTGGATGAAGGTGAAAACTCTCATTGTAGAAAAGAGCCAAAGAATCTGCAAATTTGGGAAACATTCAGAGACATTTAAAAAGGGCATGTTATTAAATTAGGAATAAATGTACCATTTTCGAAGTAGAATCGGTGAAAATCCATCCCTTCCACTAAATTACCCAGAGCTTCAGGTTCAAAAGCAGTAAGGCCTGGGTCACAGATTTTTCTGTAAAAGAAAAATAAAGAAAATAACCAATTAATAGGTGCTTTAATGTGTTTTGCTGTTTCATGTGTAAACATTCTGATTTATTAGTTGCTGAAGGAAAGAGCCTCTAAAAACAATGAAATAAAAATGTTCTATCAAAAACCTTGGCAAGGTGGGTTGAGGAGCAGACTCTGAAAAGACATTTTGCAGAGAACTCTGATAGGAACAAACTAATTTATCCAGTTCAAGCAGATGATAATATACAATATTTTAGGAAGCCCCCTTTTACAATTTCTACTTTTTTATTTTTAAGGTGAATTTTCCAGTTTTAAGTTAATCAACCTTAACTCTTGATTGAGGTTTACTATTTTTTAAAAATGCTCTCCAAGTCGTTTTGTCCAAGTTTAAGACACTCTCCAAATCCTATAAAAGTATCTTTGAATCTGAAATTAAATACTTCTGGAATAATAATAATAATAATTATTATTTTTGAGACAGAGTCTTGCTCTGTTGCCCAGGCTGGAGTGTAGTGCTGCAATAATGGCTCACTGCAGCCTCAACCTTCCAGACTCAAGCAATCCTCCCGCCTCAGCCTCCCTAGTAGCTGGGAGTATTGACGCGCAGTACCACACTGGGTTAATTTTAAAATTTTTATTTCTAGTAGAGATGGGGTTTCCTTATGTTGCCTAGGCTGGTCTCTAATGCCTAGGCACAAGTGATCCTCCCACCTGACCTCCCAAAGTATGGGATTATAGGGGTGAGCCTGGTACCGTGCTTAGCCCTGGAATAATTTTTGTTGGACCACATCTTCTACATTCATGTCAAACATGTATATGACAATTGACTTGAAAGAAAGTATCACACCCTACACTTCCTGGCAATGTCACATCTTATTATTGTGTTTAAGTTTATTTTATTTTTAAAATGAAATCAATAGGAGGTTCAAATGCTCATACTGGTTTTCTTTCTTAATCCTAGAAGTATGATTCAATAAAGGGGTGTGCAATTTTAAATATTTGGAAAAAACCAATGAGCTTTCTTTGGAGAAATTTATTCAGTAAAGAATTGCTGAACGCCAACTATGTGGCAGATATTCTTTAAAACAAGCAATTATAATACAATAATCAATACCAGAATAGATGAAAATGTGAAGTGCTCAAAAAAACAGATTACTAATAGACAGCGAACAGGAAAGGTTTAAGAGAGGAAGAAAATGTGAGCTGGGCTTTGAAGAATGAGTAAGAGTTTTCCAGGTATGTGGGAGGTGGTGGGCAGGGGGAGGACAGCAAGTGGAATGGTCTGCTGCTGTGAAAATGCAGAGTACGCTTGGGGAATGATGACTGGTTGCTTGATGTGGAAAGCAAGGTCACTGTGTTATGTGTGTAAGGCCCCTGGAAATGTAGACAGGAAAATATTTCCTTTGGGCCTATGGTGATCAGGGTAGGCTTCTCAGAGAAGGTGATAAGATCTGGATTTGAAGAACGAGTGGGAGTTCACAAGGTAGATCAAATGGAGTACAAATCAAAGGATTTTGGACTGTTTATTAATTTGCCCCAAAGGATAATACAGTGGATGGGGCCACACCTAATTTCATAGAGAAATTCCCCTTTGGGGGTGGCAAATTTTTTTAAATGTTCAACAGAAATACAAATTTCAAAAGTCTATCTCACTGTACTTCCTCAAAGTGCAGTACTGTTTATAGAACGTGGAACTGGTATTATTTAAAGAATACTTTTAAAAAGTAGAAATCACAGTGGATATCCTTTGTGCCTTAAAGATGGTGGGGGCAAGGATTACAACCTTCACTTCAGACTGCCTGCTGGGTAGGCGTTTCTAAGCTTAAAATCAAATATATATAGTCTCTAAGAAGCAAAATGGGAAGAACAGCGTTCCTATGGTAACAAGAATTTATTCTGCCAGGGGCTATTACTTCCTCTATAAATATGGTTTTTGGTTGTCATTATCAGTGAACCAAAATTTCTTACTGCCTTACATCAGTACTAACATAATCTAGGAATCACAGGGCCATGATGGATCTTCTTACCCAACCATGAAAAGAGTCAATATATTTGGAAATGTTCCTATCTATCTATCTATCTATCTATCTATCTATCTATCTATCTATCTATCTATCTAATCATCCATCTACCCTATAAAAGGCTTTGGATTAATAAAAGATCCACAAAGCTGCCATTTGACACGTGGGTGTGTGTGATCTGAACAGGTGTTCTAAGGACCAGTTGACAGGGATACACCAGTACATTCTACCATCCCAAAAGCTCTTGAATGGCAGCCCTCTTGGATTAGCTCTGGCTGGAAAGTACAAAATCAGGCCAGATTATAGGTCTCCATAGGCAAAGATATTAGTGAACTGATGTGTTCCCAAGGTTTAGCATTATTTAAAATACCCTATTTTAAACTGTCTGAGAATATAGGAAACATACACTTTTGCCTGGCTACAATTGCTCCCTATATAATAGTAGTATCTGTTTATAAATTGAGAAAGAATAGAAAAGAAGCAGGAAAAAAATTCATACACAATTTTACCTCTCAGAGGCAACTTCTTTTTTTCTTTTTAACAACAACAAACACAACTTTTTTATCATTCCACAAGGAAATGCTATTGCAAAAAAAATACTTTTTTAAAAAGCGAATATTCTTATTCTTTGAATAATCATATGTATCTAACAAGGATATAACAGCAACAAGAATTTTTAAAAAGCAGGTTCTATGGTACAGTTATAAACAATTGTTTAATAGGGAACCGTTGTCTCTGAAAACAGACTGTTCTTTTTAACTCCAATTTTTACTATATCTTTTATTCCAAGTATGCCTTATTAGGTCATGATAAAGAATTGATACACTCATACACATGTATACGCATGTGTTTATACATATATGCACACACATTTAATTTATAAGAAGAAGCTCCTGATACAGTTTCATTCTTACATTTAGCTAATCTCTTCCATATTTTATATTTGGTGTTTATTTATAATTAATGATAAAAGTAATACTTGCTTACTTTTATAAAAAGGCAGGAAAAAAATTCACATGTAATTTTACCTCTCAGAGGCAACTTCGTTTTTTCTTTTTAAAATTTAATTTGGCATATTTCATTCCACTTTTAATACTTTTTATTTATTTATTTATTTTTGAGATGGAGTTTCACTCTTCTTGCCCAGCCTGGACTGCAATGGTACGATCTCAGCTCACCGCAACCTCTGCCTCCCAGGTTCAAGTGATTCTCCTGCCTCAGCCTCCTGAGTAGCTGGGATTACAGTCATGGGCCACTACACCTGGCTAATTTTGTATTTTTAGTAGAGACAGGGTTTCTCCATGCTGGTCAGGCTAATCTTGAACTCCTGACCTCAGGTGATCTGCCCACCTTGGCCTCCCGAAGTGCTGGGATTACAGGTGTGAGCCACCACGCCTGGCACTTTTAATACTTTTTACTTTTGTAGTTTTAATAATTATGTACATACTCTTTTATGTCCTGCTTAATTTTCAGTAAAAATATCATAAATATTTTTCCAGGTTGCTAGAAACTCAACATAACCATTGTACCAAAGATGACTTAATGGAAACTGTACTGCTTCAGTATATATCTTTGTTCACAAATTTTTGCTCATGTTTTACATAAAAAATTTATACTCATGTTAAATTCTTATAAATAGAATTATAGTATTACAGTAAAGTTAGCCTTTATAAAAGTTTTCAGGTATATAATTACAGATTATATAACAAAATATATTAATAATCCCCCCATCTCTGCCATGAGTGCCATCCTGAAAGTTTGCACCCCATTGTGTTTTATTCCATTGCATAGGAAAGTCACTACTGCCCTGTAGTATCTGCACCTTGGCGGCTGTCAGCAGAGTTTATATGTCTGCTGATTTTATAGGCAGAAGAGGCTCTTGCATTCAAGTTTGCATATACTTAATTAGTAAACATAAACATGCCTTTATTAGTTTACTTGTCATTTATATTTCCTCCTCTGATAATAGTCAGTTCATGTTCTTTACCTATTTTTCTACTTTTCAATCATATTCACATAATATAAAAAATTAACTTTTGACATATGTTTTGAAAATGTTTTTCTAAGTTTGTTTGCCTCTTACTTTTATTCTTGGCTTTTTAATTAAAGTATACACATTTTACCTATTTAGGTATAATCATATTATATTCTCACTTACGATTTTATCTTCAGCTTTTGGATCTTTCTAGCCAGAGATCAGATTCAATCTCTGTTTTGCATTTAAGTCTTTCACTGGAGTGGAACTCATGAGTTGCATGGTGTAAGGAGAAGGCCCTATTTAAATTGAATGCTTTATTTTTACTTCAGCAAAGTAATTTCCTTCATAGTTCCTATGATCCAGGAGTTTATAAACTTTAAATAAGCATTAGAACTCATTCCTCAAGTAAAGTTTTCCTTAAGATACAAACATATAAAAGAGATGGAGATAAAGTTGAATTGTACTGGCTGAAGAGAGAAGGCTGCCTCATGTCACCTCCTAATCTCTTTCTCTGCCCCAGAACCTCTGCAGAACTGCAAGGGAAAACATTTCTTAAGCTGAAATGCACATTTTATGTGCTTTCCTTTTTTGCGTGTGTTTTTGCTCACATGAATTGCTCTGCCTGGATTGCCCTTTACTCATCTGGACTTGTGTGTGTGTGTGATGCGGGAGTGGTTATACATCTGCGTATTTACAAAGAAATCTCCAATCACTGGATCAGAAGTCAAGTCTTCTCTCTGTGAAATCTTTTTTTCTTTTCTTTTCTTTTTTTTTTTTGAGACAGGGTCTCATTCTGTCACTCAGGCTGGAGTGCAGTGACGTGATCATGGCTCACTGCAGCCTTGACTTAAGGCCTCACTGGGCTTAGGTGATCCTCCTGCCTCAGCCTTCCAAATATGTGGGACTACAGGTGTGCACCACTATGCCTGACTAATTTTCAAACTTTTCGTAGAAATGGGGTCTTGTTCTGTCACCCAGGTTGGTCTCGAACTCTTGGCCTCAAGCAATCCTCCGACCTCGGCCTCCCAAAGTGCTAGGATTACAAGTGTGAGCCACTGTGCCTGGGCTCTGAAATCTTAAATAAATTTTTCTCTCCTAGGGGCACTTAGTCATTTATACCATGAAATAAAACTATTGTTGACATATCAAATCTAGAGTTAAATATATGCAAATTTAGATATATTGAAGAATGCATTCATATAACAAATATATTTACCATATGCATGAAAGCAAAGTAAACATCTGCTACTCACGTGTAGGCTTCAAAGTCCCCGTTGTTGATAGCTTCAATGAGTTGTTCGGTGACTTTGATAATCTCTTGCTTTCGTGCTAAAGGCAAAAATAAAGAGTTGGGTGAGAATAAAAGACAAAAGTCATATAAAACATTCTTTTTCACTTTTATTTTTTGAGATAGGGTCTCACTCTGTCACCCAGGCTGGTGTGCAGTAGCGCGATCATGGCTCCTTACAGCCTTGACCTCCTGGGCTCAAGTGATCCTCCCACCTCTGCCTCCCAAAGTGCTGGGATTACGGGTGTGAGTCACTGTGCCCAGCCAGAATCTGCATTTTAACATGACTTTCAGATGACCTCTGAGTACATTCATGTTGGAAAGCACTGCTATTTTCCATTTGTTTGAAAACAACAGTCACCTGAAAGGTCAAGGTTATGTTTTTTTCTACAACCTTAAACAACTTGATTGGATTAGTAAACATATTTCTCCCCATAGTTAACAAATGTTATTAAAAACAATAATCTCAAAAAGTATCATTCTAACAATATAGGTCTATCTTCAGAGTAAAGATGATATCTTGCATTGAGATATTGAACTTTATATAATTATTTGCATTTTCTCACTACTCTGCTTGACTGACTCTACAAGAGGATGCTGACACTTTGGCCTTTGTATTTAGACGAATGGCCTTTAGTAAACTACAAATTGAAGAAGTGACATATGAATCAATACTGTAGATGTAGGCAGATAATCAGATGAAAGCCTCCAGGTATAGCTGTGAAACCCAACACCAATCATGATTTGTTTCTATTCCTAGCCCATAATTGGTGAAATTATTAATAGTTGGTTTGGTTCAAATCCTATCTATTCAGTGAATTTGTTTCTACTGACATCTGTCTCAAGTGTTCTTTCTCTTTTTTGAAAGCCTGCAGAATCTGTATTACTCACCTGGCAATTATGCATATGCTATCTCTTGATACCTTCTTTAGTTTAAAACACATTATTACTTGTTTTAAATTGTTATTAAACTTTCTGTACTGTGTAATGTGTCTTCTTCATTAACTTAAAAGCTCCCCGAGGGCAAAGAACATTTTATTTTCTTGTATAGCCTAAAAAGCTTTGTTCAATGTCTTTTATGGAATAGTTGCTCAATGTTTGTGAATTTAATCAATTGAGACTAATAATAACCTTTCTTTATTTCAGAACACTGTTCTCTTACTTATAAAATTACTGCATGAAATATTTTAGAAAACAAATTTTACTGGATTTTAAGAATATTGTGACAGTCCCTTAAAATCACTGACGATAGACTGGGAATCACAAAATGTTACCTCCCATCTTATCTTACTAAGGTAGTGAGGCTGCTATTGATCACGAAAAAAGCTGACCTCTGGCTTTGTTCTTTACTGAGTAAAGAAACCAGTTTGCACTTTTTATGAATCTGATATTCATCAAACAGATTGTAACCACAAACTTAAATGCTTACTTTCACTCTGAAACTTCAGGTTACCTAGGTGATGACAGTATTTAAAAATAAGTTTTCTATAAACCAAATTTTACTTCATCGAGACTCTATATGAGACTATATCATAACAAATACAAGTAATAAACTATCCTATAAAATGTGATTTAGTTAGTCCATAATATGGTCGCCAACAATGTCAAGGTCTATAATATTAAAAAATCACTAATATGGGTTATAATTCATATTTAGTTAACATAATCACTTTTTGTTTATGTAAAGTAACATAACACAGCTCCTACAGATGTCCAAAAGATTTCTCGCCCTTGCTCATTTGATTGATGAATATCAATAATACATTTAAAAGCAAAACATACTGACAGAAGTGGTATCAGGGCATGATTTTGTAATAAGGATGCTGCCAGTGACACATTTTAGCTTAATTCAGTTAGGCAATAGGTGATTCATCCGTCTGTGGCCTCAACAGTATGAACATTTGGCAAAAGCTAATGACAGCTGACCCGATTCTGGAACATAAGGGACATGGGTGAGGAGGATCTCAGAAAATAAGATGATAAAAATGTGACCACCAAAACTTCCTTCTCACATGAAATCTTCATTTCAAATTAACAGATTTTTATTTTATTTTTTTTGTCTGATATACAGCTGACAGGAAAAACTACAGTTTAGAAAACATGGGCAATTTGAAATGAGCATAAGATCAACGTCCTTCGTGGAGCTTCATTAGGGTAAGCCTCAGTTTATAGAGTGTGAAGAGTTCAGGATCACTTCCTGAAGTTTCTGAAAGTCTCTGCACTGCCTCACAAGCATAATATGGAATTAGAACCATCGGGTGTATATGGCCGCCTCTCACTTTCTGAACCACTACGGAAATACACATTCGCTCTTCAATATATTGCATGCCACAACTGGCTTAAAGGTTGTCCTGCATAAACAAAGCAACACAAATTGCCTTCTCTCACTTCTTGTGCTTAGAAACGATGGTGCTTTTACTGGCAGGACAACACATGGGAATTAGCCAGGATGCTTCTGTGCTGTATCATCATAAAAACAACGTGACTCTTTTGGCTTAGGAGGGGCCTGGAACTCAGGAATCTTTAGAGTGCTTATTTCCCTGGGGCAAAGAAGCTTGAGTGAGTCATAGGCGGCACATGACAGCTGACTCTTTAAAGGAAAGCAGAAGGCTGGAAATGAATCATTTGTATATAGTAGTCAGCTTGTGGTTGGAACTGTTGCCACAAGCCCAGCATCTGACCTAGAGGAAGAGAGGGTTTGGTGCTAGCTAGCTCTACTCTCAATCAGCAGTGAGGTTAAGGAACAGTTACTGTGCCAGGGCTTTAGATAGACAAGTTGTGTGGGGAGGGGGTCCACTCTCATCTGGCCTTCCCTCTTCCTGAACACCAACTAATAACCACTCCAAAAGTCAAAGTGGGGAGAGCTTGTGACATGTTCCTAATTATACCACGATGAATGGAGAATGTACCAGTAAAGTGTTCCCTGAACACCATAGGCTTCTTCCACTGCACAGCTAGCCATTTAATCACAGGAAGCTGTTTACCTACTAGGTTTATTTCTAGTGCTCCAGCCTATACTCACAGGACACAAAGTACTTTCCGGGGATTTCTAGGTTCTTAGGAAAAGGAAAAGGAGAAAACCAAGTGGGAGAGATGTTCCAGGTTCTGAGTGGAATTACTTTCCATGCAATTATGCAAAAAGAATTGGGAACATTTTCACTTTCAAATTCATACATTTTTGGCTCTTGTTCTAAGAGGCCTGGAAGAGTAAGATAAGGGTGTGAATGATGCCAGTGTTTGAAAACAAAATAAAACCCAAGAACTGAAAGTAATTACATAATAAAACAACTTACAGATTTCAACATTTCCTCAAACATTAGATTTGGTTACTATAACAATATTCAGATACGCAGTGATTATTTCTTGGTTTAACAGATAAATAAAGGGATTATGGGCATTGCCCAAAGGTATGGAGTTTGCTGATCACTCCTTCCCACCTTCTTGTCTTGGAACACTCTCCTTTTACTTAACTCTCTTGCTTTTCTACATGTTCTCATTCTCATTTGCCATGTTATCCTTCCCTACCTGGATATTAAATGCTTCAATTCCTTCTAAAGACTCAATTTGAGTCCCTCTCCTTATCTCATGCTGCATCCCTAAAGTCCTGTGTACACTAGTGCCTTAAATAGTCATCTATATTCCAAAGACTCCCAAATTGCTAACCTCCTTCCTAGACTTTTCCTTCAGATCTATGTGTCAAGGCCTATTTTTTTTTTTTTTTTGAGACGGAGTCTCGCTCTGTCGCCCAGGCTGGAGTTCAGTGGTGCAATCTCGGATCACTGCAAGCTCCGCCTCCTGGGTTCACGCCATTCTCCTGCCTCAGCCTCCCCAGTAGCTGGGACTATAGGCGCCTGCCACCATGCCCAGCTAATTTTTTGTATTTTTAATAGAGACGGGATTCACCGTGTTAGCCAGGATGGTCTCGATCTCCTGACCTAGTGATCCACCCGTCTCGGCCTCTGAAAGTGCTGGGATTACAGGCATGAGCCACCGCGCCCGGGTCAAGGCCTCTTTTTGATCCTCCATTTGGGTATCTCAAATGGACCTCAAACCCAACGTATACTGAACTGAGCTTAAGAACTTCCACCACTACAAGCCTGCTTGCTCTTCCATGGATCCCCATCTTGGTGAATGGCATAGCAAGATCATCTCTCAGTTGCACAAGCCAGAAAGAAACCTGAGGATCACATTTGACTCCCTAAATCCAGCACCTCAATCAAATCCATTGAGTTCTGCTGAATTTGCCTTCCTCTTCTTTTTTACTTTTTTTCCTCTTCACCCCTACTCTGGGTACAAGCATCCATTATTTCTTGTCCAGGCTCTGCAACAGCCCTCTGACTTAGTGTTTCTGCAACCAATTTTGCTCTTCACTATTCTGTTCTCTACAATGCAACCACCTCTCTCTCTCTTTCTCTCTTTTATTTAAATGCCTATCTCTTCAGAAAACCCTCTATTTGAACTCTTCTAAAACCTTCTCACTGCTCTCAGGATAGGAACCTGAAGAGAGACTACAAAACCTTGCATAATCTGGGCTCTGCCCATCTCATCAGACTCAAAGACTCTTTGGGTTTATCCTCTCTAACGCACTCTTGCTCCCTTGTTTTACCAATTCAAAATGGACACACTGCCTCCTATTACCAGCCCTTCATATGTCCTGTCTTCTCTTCTTGGAAAACCGCTCCCCCAACCCCACCATTTACTCCTACTTCTTTTATCAGATCTCAACTCAACTATTATTTCTTCAAAAATGCCTTCCCCGGGCCAGGTGCGGTGGCTATGCCTGTAATCTCAGCACTTTGAGAGGCCGAGGCGGGCAGATCACGAGGTCAAGAGATTGAGACCACACTGGCCAACATGGTGAAACCCTGTCTCTACTAAAAATACAAAAATTAGCTGGGCATGGTGGCGTGCACATGTAGTCCCAGTTACTTGGGAGACTGAGGTAGGAGAATCGCTTGAACCTGGTAGATGGAGGTTGCAGTGAGCTGAGATCACGCCATTGCACTCCAGCCTGGTGACAGAGCAAGACTTTGTCTCAAAA